GAAGGTGTTGCACTATGGTTATGTGGTGCCCGCCGGTAGTTCGGTGGAGGGCATTGCTCAGCAGTATAACACATCCCGGGACACACTATTGAGGCTCAACAATTTGACCAGTCCCAATGATCTCAAGGCTGATGCTATTCTTGATGTTCCACTTAGAGGTAACTCAACGTCTTTTTTCTGGTTTTGATAAATAATTAATTAAATGAGACAGCTGCAATAATATTATTAAAGATATGGAAAGATTGTAAAGAATTATTTCTAAGATATTTTTTAAATTACGTAGATTATTTTTCTAAATAGTTGATTGTGCACACGATCTTTACTTTTTAGAGTTATTTATAGCCCTAAAAATACTAAATTGAGTCTTCTACTTTTTAAAAGAAACACAAATTTATTAAATACAATTTATAATATTATAACATGGTATCATAGGGGGTTTAACTTCATTTTGGGTTAAACTTGTAAGTTTTGGTTCTCCGAAGAGTGGAATCGTGCCTCTCATGTGGTCGAGTTTTCTTGTTTAGATTAAATATTCAAGTCTAGTCAAATTCTTTTTCTTTATTATGTCCAATCAAGTCTCTCTCTCTTTTCTGTTCTTGATTTAATCTGAATTTGGACTTCATATTAATTCAAGTATTGGTAGATGTTGGCTAGTCTTGTTGTTTTCTTCAATCGAGGATTATCATATTGTTTTTCGTTGAATTCATTCCTATCACATCTGTTATTTAGCCTCGTCGTGTGCCAGGGTTGATGTTTCATCAGCATTTTCTTTATCTATAATAGTACTGTTACTACCCCACGGATTTCGAAGTCCTACTATTAAACATGGTCCATCTTTGCCCATCTCATTATTAAAATCATTTGAGGTTTTTGTTTTGACCTTGTTCGTTATACTTGTGGGGTTTCTCCCTCAAGTTTTGGTGATAGTATGGTTAAATTGGGGGATGATGACCTTTCGTTCTTACAAACTTTGAGTTCTTTGTTTGGATTGATTGGCATACAAACAATTTTGAAATATCATTCGATTCTTGGAAGAGGAAGATTTGATTGGATCAATTTAATTTTCAAACTCAATTTGATTGTCACTATACTATATTGAGTTTGAGGGAGGGTTCTATGATATTTTTCCAATTGTGTAGGATTATTTTCCGTAATAGTTACTTGTGTGATTATTACACAATATTTCCTTTTAGAATTATTTATAACCATATAAATAGAGTCTTCTATCTTGTAATAGAAACACAAGTTTATTATATACAATTATATAATATTCTAACAAATGTTATTAATAATCTTGCAAATATGGCCGCGACAATTGACTGAATTCTTCACATACTTTATTTATTGTAAATGTATGAAGCTGCAATTGAGCTACAATATGTTAGGACCTAGGCTTGTTGATACATAATACACAGGTGACTGCGAACAAGGAGCAATGATCTGATCTGAATTAGATTAATAAAAACTCAATGCAGAAAGTGGATTTGAAAGATAATAGTTTATTGAAAACTGAATAATAAGACGATAGTCACAGGTTATTCGAGAGGCCTGGAATCCCTCCTATCTTAACTGAAAAATAACCACTCAAACCATGCATGCATGGCCTTTCCCCTCGTTACAATTTATAGACCCTTATCAAGGAAGATAGCACAGATCATTCTCATAATCAATCAAATTAGCAAGATTTGTGCAAGCATGATTCTGGGATCAGTTTTCCTTTGATTTGGCTGTATAAACTGTAGATTTACGTTACTACCTTCTGTAGACAGATTACCAAAAGTTGTGTATATAAACTTATCTTGTACATTAATATAAATTTGTTTAGAATTTCTCCAAAACCAATAGAGTGTCATTCCCTTTTTTATGGTATCAGAGCAGGTCTCTTACAAGTTTTAATTTTTTTTCCCTCTAAAAATGGCTGGGATTCTTGGGTCCTCTGATAATCCAATTATCACAATCAATGCTTCCACTACGATCAACGAAAAACTCACTCTATCCACCTTTCCTCGATGGAGAGCCCAATTCGAAGCACTATTTATTGGATACGACCTCATCAATTTTGTTAATGGCACACGTAAATGTCTTGCCATTGATGTCGAAAATTCTGCAACCTCGAAAGCAGCGAATTCCAACTGGATTCACCAAGATAAACTAATTCTTTATGCTATCCTTGCTTCAACTTCTACTAACATTACACCTCCTCTTACATCCTAAATAATAGCTCATCAAGCTTGGATAGCACTCACCCGTCTCTATGCAGGAAAATCTTGAACACGTGCAATGCAACTCAAAGAGGACCTCGCATTGTAAATTCGTGGTAGTCGTTCAGTCACTGAATTTCTCCATGCAATTAAGATAATTGCAGATGAACTTGCAATAATCAATCACCCTATCTCGGTTGACGATTTAACACTTTACATCCTAAATGGGGTCCAGAGTTTTGGGAGATAGCCATTCCAATTCGTGCTCAAGAAACCTCACTAAAATTTGAGGAACTTCATGATCTTCTTGTTGGCCATGAAAACTACATCCGAAGGATGGAAAACAACTATGTGTACCAACTAATTCCAACAGCAAATTACTCACAACGGCATGGAGGAATGAGCAAAAACAACCACCACTGTTCTTTATCTTCTTCAAACAAAGGCCATGACAACAAAAAGAAGTGGGCTTCCAGTTCAGGGGCTTGAAAATTTAAACCCAAATGCCAACTATGCGATCAAGTAGGTCACACAGCAAAAAGTTGTCCCAAACTTGCATCCAATGAAGTTACCGCCAACTGTGCAACATCCTCCAAAAACAAAGATCAAAATGGCTTGTAGATTCAGCAGCATCACATAACACGACAACTGATCTGTCCAATCTTTCAATACACTCTGAATATGATGGTACTAATGAAGTGGTAATTGGAGATAGATCAGGTTTGCCTGTATCTCATGTTGGTTCCTTATCTTTTAAATCATCGAATCGTATTTTTCATCTTAAAGATACATTATATGTTCCCACAATTAAAAATAAATAAAAAATGATTTCTGTTCATCATTTCACCAAGCAAAATGATGTTTATCTTGAATTTTATCCATCTTATTTTTGGGTGAAAGATCTGATCACGGAGGCGACGCTCCTCAAAGGCGCATGTGAAGATGGTGTGCACCCATTTCCGGAGAAGCTAGCTACTGCTTCCAAAAATGTCATTGCTTATGTTCATGAACGTACCACCAAAGATGGGTGGCACAAAAGACTTGGTCATCTATCCTCTAAAATTGTCAATCATTTAATTCGTGCTTTTTCATTACATACCAATAAAAATGACAATAATGCTTTATGCAATGCGTGCTCTCAAAATAAAGCTAATTGTCAACCTTTTCATTCTCATAGTTTAACTAGCAAAGCACCACATTTAATTTATACTGATGTTTGGGGTCTCTCGCATAATATTGGTATCGATGGTTCAAAATATTACGTCATTTTTATTGACGATCATACTAAATATATTTGGCTCTTTCCAATGTCTCACAAATCAAATGTTCAAATCATTTTTCCTCAATTTCAAAATCTTGTGGAAAATAGATTCGACACCCGAATTAAGAGTATATACTCGGATAACGGAGGTGAATACATTGCTCTTAAATCCTACCTTTTGGTTCATAGCACTGGTCATTACACAACCGCCCCTCATACTCCCCAACAAAATAGCATTTTTGAAAGAAGACATCGCCACCTTGTTGAAACTGGGCTCACGCTTCTCTCAGATGCAAATCTACCACTCTCATATTGGCCTTATGCTTTTCAAACAGCTGGATATCTAATAAATAGAATGCCAACCGCAACATTGAAAAATCAAACACCATTTGAGAAGCTCTTCAATCAGACCCCCAACTATCTCAAACTTAAACAATTTGGATGCCTTTGCTATCAATTGACCTGACCATACAACAAGCATAAGCTTGAACCCAAAGCTAAGCCTTGCATCTTTGTGGGCTATTCATTGACTCAAAATGCATATTTGTGCTTTGAGCCCAAAGCCTATTGTCTTTATCACTCGAGACATGTATTGTTTGATGAAGGAAAATTTCCATTCTTCGAATTAAGGTCTAAAATCAGTGAGACCACCGAAACTACATCCTCTTCTCCTCAAATTGATCCTCCAGTGCTGCTTCCTCTATCACAAAACATGCCTCAGTTAATGCCAGATACTACTTCTTACGGATTAGGTACTCATCATCCTCATGCACCCGTGATGGAGACTTCTCCTCCACCAATTCATCACCAGGTACATGGTTCTCAACCATCTTCTTCAATTTCAAATGAAGTCTCTCTCTCAAATATAACACCAAATTCTAATCTTGTTATGATCCGATCCCATAATATGGTGACTTGATTAATGAATAATATCTATAAATCAAAAAAATCATTTCTAGTCACAATGCATCCGATTCAACCCTCGCTGAAACCAAATGCAGTCAGTGAAGCTCTATCTGATCCTCGTTGGAGAGATGCTATGTCCTCAGAACTAACAGTTCTCATGTGCCATGGTACATGGCAGTTAGAAATTCCTCCAAAAGGATGCAACACTATTGGATGCAAATGGGTCTTTAGGATCAAAAGATTGGCTGATGGATCAATTAATAGGTATAAAGCATGGCTAGTTGCAAAGGATTTCAATCAAAGACCAGGTCTAGACTGCAAAGAAACTTTTAGTCCCGTAGTAAAGCCTATTACCATTCGCATTGTGTTGTCTCTTGCTGTAATGCAAGGCTGGTCATTAAGACAACTGGATGTGAATAACGCATTTTTGCATGGAGATCTTACGGAAAAAATCTATATGAAACAGCCGCCTAAATTTCAAGATACTGGGGTTGTCTTCAAAAGGCTATATATGGTCTCAAACAAGCACCACGTGCTTGGTATTCCGCACTTAAATAGGCACTGGTCGAGTTTGGTTTCTCTAACAGTAAATATGATTCTTCCTTGTTGGTGTATAGTGCTGATTCAATTCTGGTATACTGTATGTAGATGACTTGGTTATCACAGGAAATGACTCAATTTGTGGAAAGCATTATTACTCAACTTGGAAAAAAGTTCTCGATCAAGGTCATGGGGCCACTGCATTTCTTTCTTGGCATTGATGTTATTCCCACACCTCATGGATTGTTCT